GATTGATTAATCTTGGCGAGACTCGATCTAAAATTGGGGGTGAGTGCCACTCGCATATCCAGCCAAGTTTCGAATGAGCGACCACTAAGGAATGCACACTTTAATAGTTGAGACTGTTCAGCGTTGAGTGATGCCCGAAGTGAGGAGAATCACCGTTTATTTATTTATTTATTTATTTCTATACATTCAAAGGTGTGCGCACAAAGAGCAGCAAGGAGAAAAAACAATAGAACGATAAAAAATAACGTTTAGTGCAATTGGAACGCGCTAGCAGCTGCGCGGGTTTCAGCTTCGTAGACAGTTTTTTGAACCCAACCGTGTCATTTGAGAACCGTGATTGAAGCATCAGTCTCGTAAATCGTTTCATTGGCGTTCTGGAGCTGTTGCAATTAGACATTCGACACATACAGGTTCCTTGTTATTGTTGGAGAACCCGCTTCGCGGCACCTTAAATGATTTATTGCTGTCCGTAGCCAGTGTAGTTCTCTTTTGCTTTTTGTCAGTTCCTTTTTCCAACGGGATAGTCAAGTGGATAGTGGAGTACCCTCGTCAGAGGGTAAGAAATGAGGATGAGGAGAAATGGGTAGCATTTCTCAAGCCAGCTTCCTGGCCACACAGCTTGAGCCATTCTGAAATGTAGTTGGCTTTAAAGGACGAATTCACGATTAGAATGAAGGTCGAAGAAGGAGTAATTCACCTAGTTGAGGGACCCGCGGACCTCCTAAGGGTGCGGACTGAAGCGCAATTGGCACCGAAGGAGTTGACCTCGGCGACCTATTAAAGGCTCAATCTTGGCGCGGTGGGCCAGTGCACGCCCACCGATCATCTGATCACTCGCCGCAGGTCTATACGTGGCGAGTGATTAGATAGGTGAGAGAGCGTAGTGTTGAAGAGGGCACAGCGATGAGAGTCGCATCAATGCTCAAATCAACGGGCAAGGAAGGGGTCCCATTTCTCGGGTTCTGGGCCGTTTCTCATGGTTTTTCCTTCTTTAGTGTACCACTCACCATCGCTAAGGTTAATTTGAAATGGGTTGCCTTTCCAGCGTGAATTCGTCCTTTAAGGGGATTCTACTTCAAAGACGAAGGACGGTCAAGGGGAAACTTACCTAGTGGAGAGACAGACCTACCTCCTAAGGGAGCGGACCGACACGCAATTCGCATCAAAGGATATGCGATCTAGCATGGCCTTCCAACTGGCGCGCTATTGGCCCGGTATGCCCCCTTCCACGTTGTCTCGTGTCTGAGTCTCTAGCCGTTTAGCAGAGAGAGAGAGCGTTAGCGTTGAAGAGGGCAGCACCGATGAGAGTCGCATCAATGCGGAAATCAACGGAAAAGGAAGGGCCATTTCTCGGTTCTAGGCCTTTCGGTTTTTTCTTCTTTCGTGCATCACTGACCATCTCTAACTTAATTTCCAATGGGCTGCCTTTTCATCGTAAAATCCGCCTTCAAGGAACTTTCTGTCAGCCCCTTCTCTCTGTGGCAGAGAAAAGCTTCAGATTGGAGCACACTGGGAGCTTTTCAGTTTCTAAAAAACCGCCCATTTCATATTTTCATGGTCAAAACTTGTGCACCTTTGTGTAGTGCAGGTGAAGACAATCTGTTAGAGGTGTATTCTGATGTAAATTTTTAGAACAAAGAAATGAGAGCACTAAAGCGAGATGCTATGTCACCTGACTGACTCACTCATAAGTGATTCATTTCCTGGAAGGATTTGAAGTGCATTTGTTAACCAGGACTTGCAAACCGACAGTGATACCAGTGACAAATGTTGATTATTCAATGCCCTTCTCACCACGTTCTAATGGCCTTTTTGCCACGTTTACCCAGTGAGCAATCTACAATAGAGCGAGTCTGACCGAGAATCCGTGACGTGTGATCAATCAGAAATAACAATTGATTGATTCGCTTGAAGCGGGAGTGTTGCACTAAAGTAAATAAAGAAAACAATTTGAAAGATAAGGCAGCACTTGCAAGGGCTTTTTTTCTTTTTTATGGTAGGTACGAGTCATGAAGGAGACAAAAACATCATACATACATCCCGGCTGGAAACTATTTTCGGCACAGTCTGCCGATAATTCACTTCGCAGGGAAAAACTGACGGCACCTCACGGCTTCCGAGCAAACGTATGGGAGGTCCTCAATCATGCGGGAAGAATTATAGGGTGTTCCATAATATTGTACAAAATTTTGGGCTCAAATTCTGTAAGGTGTTTAGAGCTTTTCTTCCGAGATTGGCAGACCTTTCAATCCTCTATGCTCTTGTCAATGACCCTGTCAAATTCCACGGCTTACCGTTCGGCCTGCATCTCATGGTGCGCCCAAACTTCAACGGAACCCTTACTCTCACACAGCTAGGTCGGACATCTCGTGATTAACGTCGGATTTTCAACCGTTCCGCTGCCTACCGTGCACTAGAAGAGAAGACCAATAAAAGTAGTCTTTCGTTGTGGCCGCCCCACAAGTTCTGACATCTTGGATCTCAGGAAAAGCATGAAGAAGCGAAACGACTGCAATACCCGGGTTGGTTCGAGAAAGGTGACCAGAACGCTGAAGTTTCTAAGCACAGCCATGTAGGAGTGGTCAGATAACAACTGCTCACAGTCCATTATAAGTTGCATACGCACCACTGCTCAATCCAACGGGAGGAGCACAGCAGAGACAAAAAGTTCGAAGAGCTGGTGAGGGCCGAAAATGGCGATCACGCGGGCACCGTTTTCATCGACGACAGA